TTTTTTTTTGTAATGTTGCCCATCCCTGAAAGAGACAGTGCCCTATGGTACTTAAGTGCCTTCATAAGGGTACAAATATCTACCCTTTGCGTGACAGTGTAGATTTTATTAAAAGTGACCAATATGACTTCACATAACAGGTATGAAGTTTAATGGATAATTTGAATTTCTGGGCGAGGAAATTGGGAGGTCCCAAAAGCACCTTGCGTGCATCACCGAGTGGTGTTTTCCGAAGACGAATTTGGAAGGTTGTCAATCAAGTTGAGCGCGACTTACAATCTTATCAGGAGGAGGTGTGCTCGCAATGTAGCATTTCACTTCGCCGCGCTCCCCTCGCACTGCATACTGGATGGGCTCGCTGGAAATGATGGGTGGGCCTGTGCAAGGGGAGGAGAAAGATAGAAATTGTAATCCCCCCCGCCCAAAAAAAAGACTGATTTGCACTTTAAAATGCTTTTTGCTTCCTGACCGTTAACAGTGAGGGCGACCTCGGTCTCTCCGACCCCGATTCGCGGTACGATGGCCTTGCATACGTACTGGCCCGCGTCGGCCTGGCTCACCGACTTCAGATACAGTTGGTTGCCGTTACTCAGGACCTGTGTGCGAGAGGATGTCAGATTCAAAGGCAATACCAAATATATTTATTTCACATTATTTGTCCGGAAGTGGAAACTATACAGTTGAAGAGTTGAGCATGACTTCTTCTTACCATGTTGGAACCTTTCTTGAACCAAGTGAGAGTGAGCGGAGGGTTCCCGGCCCATTTGCAGTTGAGGGTGACGTCAGAGTCGACGTCCACCGTTTTGGGCTGGGGCTCCACCAAGAGAATGGGACCGACTAGAGAAGGGAAAACATGAGTCGGAAAGGGAGGTCGTGGACAGAGGGCCCAGAGTAAGCAAGTCTAAGCGGACCCCGCTGAGACACTCACAGTGAACGTCCACAAGGATGCTGACGTTGGTCTTCCCCACGGCGTTGAAGACCAAGCATGAGACCGGTTCGGTGAAGAAGGAGTGGTCCGCCTTGGTGGTGAACACACTCTCCCTGGCACCCTGTAGCACCACACCACCCTTGGCCCACCTAAGGAAGAGAGCGAGCGACCAGTTTTACCAGTACTACTTTCAATCGCTTCCTTTGTCAAAATAGGTTTGTTAGTTTTCTTCA